AAGCTTGAGAGTTAAAAATAGCCATTTAATACATAATTCACTTCGTTCCTAGTATTTGCCATAAACATCTAGTGCATGAGAGTTAATTTTACAAACCACAACACACTGGGCTTCAGAAAATGAAAATTTGATTTGTTTTCTGATATTCATAACTTATTTCCCACCTAAAACTTATTGTATGTTTATTGGAAAATTTAAAAAAAAAAAATCTTATTGAAATTTATATTTCGGGAAAATATGTAGAATTACCTGTAGATTTCTGATGAATTTCACTACTGTAAATTATTGATCGTATTTGGGTTAATGTAACATCCAACTAAAGGAATGATACGCTACTGTAGTTGCAGCCTCTGAAATCTTTAATAGGATATCAGAAAAAAGTATTGAATTCCGTACATACTGTAGCATGATCAAACATATTTTGACAAGTTTTATAAATAAGTTAAATTATTTTTCTTTTGGATATGTATTCAAAATATTTTGTCCATGTTGGGGAAAATCAATATTTTAATGGCAAAGTAAATATTTAGCTCTCAATTATAAATAAGAATAAGAAAAAAAACTTTGCATTTTAAATAATAAATGATTGAAAAAAAAAATATATTTTTCTTTTGGCAAAATTGTTCTGGTTTTCGAAGTTGGCTATTGCACAGTATATCAATAGCTGTGTCAGGCCATCCAAACCATCCACCATTTCTGTCTAATTTATTTTCTTTTGACCTGTTTCTCTGCTCAATACACTTGCAATAAGAGATTTTAAATCCCTACAGCAGGTCACGGCAATTACATTACTACATGAATCTAAGTAGTGTAGACAGATTCTTAGAAAAAAATAAATAACTCAAATTAAGTCTTTGAAACCATACTAAGAAATAAGATATTGCCGGTGGAAGATAGCAAATTTTTGCATTTAAATTGTTAATTACTTGTGATCACTTGAATTTATTCCATATGTTAATAATATTAAGGTGTCACCACAAAAAAAAAATCTTGTGGTACCATGAAAAAAAAAATCTTGTGGTACCATGAAAAAAAAATGAGTTAAAATATGGTTCAATTTATAAATGAATAAGATAGTATAATACATACTCCAAGTATCGAAATGCACGCCATCATGTCGGGATAAATAAATAATACATATTTTTAGATTGATGACTGTAACATGAGTAAAATGTAAGTGGAGGGGACCAGAGGCTGCCCTTCAACCACCCAGGAGGGGGTAAAGAAATTGGTTGAGAGTGGGCCCAACAAGTATGGTGGGGGTTCAAGAGGACACCTACATATCTCCTTTCAGGCACCAAGAGTAAAAACCCTCTGAGTCAAGGGCAAGAAATTTTAGGATTTATTAGTAAAGAAAAATTACTTTGTAAACCATTAAGAATTAAAATCAAAATAAATTTGGTTGGGACCTACGATTTATATTTTAACTACAACCAGGTCAAGTACGGTAGCATCCAAAGATGGAAGGAAGGGTCAATTCCTCCCCAATCCCTTGCATGCTCCACAACTGGCTCACAAGTGGCTGAAAAATAATACCGTATAAGACATGCCAAAATTAACTACAGAAATTAGATGACTGTGGGAATTTACTCAAGTAGGCTTAATCTTACATCAGGCTATATGATTAACTTCTTTGTTATAGTTTATCTCTTTAATTCCTCGGTGCATTTGGATTTAGGGATACCGGTATCATAACTAAAGGGTAGTTTTTTTTTACAACTACTGTATAATGATAGTTTAGTTTCTTTACAGGCTGTGGTATAAATAAATAATAGTGGTATGTGTATAAAAAGGGGCATTAAAAGTCGATTATAAAAGTACTGTAGAAGGAACTAAACCAGTTTCTTTATGAATCAGTTTCACTATTGATTCATTTAAAATTGTCAAGGTGATCACACTATATAAGCCTTTATTTGGTAAATATAAAGCACACTTATTACAAAATATGGCTACAAAATACCATTGAAAGTGATACAAAAAGTACCCACGTAAAAGAATTGCATCCATTTTCTATTGACTTAATTTAGGTCCAGAGGCAATGGTCTAATGGGGGTCCTGGGGAACTCTCCCTATGCAAAGACAAACTAGGACATTTTGGGTTACTTTAAGCTTAAAATGTTACACATAATTTACTAGGGAATAAAATACATTATTTTTAACTTCTTTAATTTGACTGAATATAACATACTGATGAGATAGCGTAAAACCTCGAATAGGAGCCCAATGGGCTTAATCTCGAGAAGAAGCCTATCTCAAATTGAAGCTGCCCTCTTTAGTTTGCAAAAGTAGCCTCGAAAAGAAGCCCATCTTGAAAAGAAGCCCTTACAAAGTTCTCAATAAAAAGAAGCTCATGGCTTCTATATTCAAGGTTTTATAGTACTGTATGCTTATCCATTGGAAGAAATTCCAGGGTGGGAAAGGGGGAGGGGGGCTAAAGTCCTCCCCCCATGGAAATAAGTCAGTTGTTTTACTGTAGTAGGTCAACTTGCAGAAACTAATATTTACTAAATAAAAATATTATTTTCTCCAAATTTTCATTTGCCATACGAAAAGCTAAAAAATAGAAAAGAAAGAAAATTGATAAAAAAATAATTATTACAGATAACCATAAGTAGGCCTATATAGCAATAGAATATAACAGAAAATTGAATGAAATGAATAATTAAACTTAATTAAAAATAAATATTCTGATTAATATTTATTTAAATGAATAATAATTTGATATGATATCCAAGAGGATTAAATAAGCATTTCCACTTGTAAAATTTAAAATATAAGAAATACAGACAGAAATCATTCAGCCAGAGGAAAACTAATGGGGCTTTAATATGTCTGTCTCTTATACACATCTAGATGTGTATAAGAGACAGAAACCAGGCATTACATGCATAGGAACTAAAAAGAAGCTCATGGCTTCTATATTCAAGGTTTTATGGTACTGTATGCTTATCCATTGGAAGCAATTCCAGGGTGGGAAAGGGGGAGGGGGGCTAAAGTCCTCCCCCCCCCCATGGAAATAAGTCAGTTGTTTTACTGTAGTAGGTCAACTTGCAGAAACTAATATTTACTAAATAAAAAAATTATTTTCTCCAAATTTTCATTTGCCATACGAAAAGCTAAAAAATAGAAAAGAAAGAAAATTGATAAAAAAATAATTATTACAGATAACCATAAGTAGGCCTATATAGCAATAGAATATAACAGAAAATTGAATGAAATGAATAATTAAACTTAATTAAAAATAAATATTCTGATTAATATTTATTTAAATGAATAATAATTTGATATGATATCCAAGAGGATTAAATAAGCATTTCCACTTGTAAAATTTAAAATATAAGAAATACAGACAGAAATCATTCAGCCAGAGGAAAACTACCAAATGAGACATTAGCACACATAGCAAAAGGTTAAATAATTATTGCATAAATCCAACAGGAGAGGAAAACTGCTACTGCAGCTCACTGTGTTGATTTGTAATGGCCTTCGGCAAACGCATGATTTATAACCTATGCAATTTGTACATTCGATGTAATTAAAAATGTAACAGACTTTCATATGGATGTGTACAAATTTCAAATGCTGTCGGTAAGATCATCTAAACACTTCTTGACAAGCGTCATTTCCTTTAATTTTATATTCTGCCAACAATTTTAAGTCATATAATAATAATGCATATATTTTAATTAATTACTTTATCAGAAATTTAATAAAGATTTTACCATTAGCTACAAACAGCGTATCAAGGAAATAACACATACTTGGCTATTGACTAGCTGCCTCAACATATAGCTGCACCAATCTCAAAGTGCCATAAATTGGGTTTTTTTTTTTAGCTGCTTTGGGTTAACGAATGGGTTGTTTTCCCCAACAAGAGTGTAAATTAATTTGGTCAGGGGCTGCTCAAAACCTCTTGGAGGGGGGGGGGAAAGCAGAAGTCTCTGGAAGCTATGACAAGGGGTTTAAAAGACTAATATTTAATCAATTTTAAAGTCAACCATCTGTGAAAATACATAATTTTTTTTCTGCGCAATAATGTGTTTTTATTCCCCCGACAGGAGGGGCCAACTCTCTCCGATGGTAGACTCTGGCCTTCTGCTCCCTCCCCTCCCCCATAGCAACACCCTTGATATCTAAAAATCAAAGATGATAAGTTAGATGTACTGTATGTTACATACTGTCTGTACTTACAGACAGTATTTATGTGAACAGCTATACTGTACACAAAAGGTGGCTTACAATGTACATAGTGAATTGGTATATGACAATGCTAACTTCCATACAGTCCTACGCTAAGACAACAAACATTAAACATTATGACACGCTATCTCTTGTGAGTGATGCTACAAGCCATTTCACAGCACTGATTTTTTTTAGTTTGCACATTTTCAGGTGAAGTATAATGGGTGAAAAATCTACATCCATAAAAACAAAGCTAAATCTAAAACACACATGATTATTTTCCTTTGGGGTATTACAAATTAAGTTTATATTTTACAAAAATAAATTTGTATTTATTATTGAAAATTACTAATTAAAACACATACTGTACTTTAACAATTTAAAATTGAAGTAATAAAGATTGTTTATTATTGCTTTTTTTTTTTATTCTGAGAACACTTTTTGAATTTATTAAAAACACTGAGGCTGAAATTGCTTAAAAATTAAGAACAAAATAAGAATAAATTGAGGCTGAGGTAAAATGTCAAATGAGGTTTTTATTTTTTAAAAAAAGAAAACAAACAAATCTTATCTGCACCTTATTTGCAGTATAAGTGTGACTAAGTGTAACACCCTCTATAATACAGTAAAGTAATATATTGTACAATAATTTTGTACTGTATGTTTGAGAAGTGTGTAACATACAAAAAGAACATTTTGAGCCTGAAATCCGCAAAATAATAAGAACACTAAGCCTGACAAAGTTTTACTGATTCTTCTTATATTGTGTACTGTATCTCTTTTTGAATCTTTGAAAATAATACTCAAAAAATACTTACACTTTCACAATAAATGGATGCGCTGTACTTGACAATATTTCTTTTTCATTTTTTACGTGCTCAACTTGTCCAAGGCGTATGATATCGTTAATATTCAATATTTTCATAGCAACATAGCTTTTTTCTACCTTGTCTCTCGCAACAAGAACTCGACCAAATGACCCAGTGCCTGGTAATCAGAGATAAAAATAAAAGGCTAGATATAATTAAATAATCAATATTGTTTTACGTTACGTTAAGTAAAAGACAATTGGTAGAGCATTCAAAATTCAGGTTATAGCCAAATGAAGGGCTTTTTGACCTGTGTGAAAGGGGCATAAGGCTCTTCCCCAGTCCCTATCCCCTCCCTGCATGACCACTGCTCTAGATCAAAACTTCACTGTTTATACTTTGACAGCTTTGTTCACCTCTAAACATCAGAACAGGGCAGTCATCTGTCTAAAAATTGAACACGACCTGTCATCACTTTATGGGAATTGATACACTTTATGGAAACTCTTGAAAACCTCCACTTCAAAGGACTCTGATAGAGAGGTACAGTAATTTGAACACACTTTAGAAAAGAATCTGAAGTATTTAGTGACTTCCAACAAATGTACCTTTTGAAGATAACAATGCTGACTGGGTATAATATGGGGGAGAGGGATAGATCAAGGGGGAAATGGTGCCAGGGCACCCCAAAAAATAAAGAAGAGAAAAAAAGGAGAAAGAGGGGAGCAAAACAAGCTAATTTTTTATTCCATGTACAAGTACAGTATCTATGGTCAAGCATTTCTAAACAAGACTCTCACAGGTGTGAGGTCACTATTGAATAAATGGGATCACATTCAATAAAAAAAAAATGATATAGTTGGATGTAGGAAGGGTAAAATGGAAAGGAATAAGTAGTTTTGCGTGGTATGAATTTCGGTAAAAAGATTGCTCATTAATATAATTCCTGGGAGACAAGGAAATTATTCTGATGAAAGAAAGGAATATTAGAGAGTTTACTTCCACTGTATTTGGTTTATTTAAATCGATAAACACAGTTGTATTATAATCAGACCAGATGATCTTGAGATTGGACAATCACAAATAATGTGCAGAATATGCTTTATTATGGTTTGAAATGAAAAAAAAAAACCGGATTAACTTTACAACAGAATAGTTATGTGATGACAGTTTACAGTATATACTTTACCACAACCAATAATTAACCATATCTACGTAATGACTAATTACCGTAGAAAACCACAACTTTTAACTCCCTGCTTAAATACAAGGTTAAAGTAGGAAAAAACAGTGTGTGAGGTGTTAATTTTGACAGATTACTCTCTGTAACAAATAATAAACCATATCTACCAATGACAATACAGTATTGCACTTACATTTGATCTATAATCAGCCTTGGCCTTCTATCATGGACCTACACCTTATAAATTGCATCAATGCTCCTCTATATGGTCACTGTCTGACCTAACAATCACAGCATAAAATCATCTTGATACTGTATAGTATACCTCATCATAGGTCAATGACTTCTTGGCTGTATGATTATTACCAATATTCTTTATTCTACCTCAGTTTCAAGCCCATAATTATTCGTGCGAATCAAAAGCATCAGTTGATGAGCATTCACATTTTTATCAGAGTTTTTCGGTTCAGCTAAATCACTAGTTCGAACTGTTTTTACTTTTTGCAAAAAAAAAAAAACAGAGTTGCTGGCGTTGACTTGGGTAGCAAAAAAGTCTTGAAATTTGTAATATTATTGTATGAATGTTTCTTTGTAGAAAGTTGGTATTAGCAAAATCTAGGCCTACATGGCTTTGAACTGAATTCAAGTTTTAATGGAAGTTAATAACTTATTTTGTAGCTGCAAGGTTATTTAAATGTTTAAATGAGCAAATTTAATGTTTTTATTTGAATGTTAAAGTGAAAAAAGTGTGGTTAATGCCCTTCTCCTACCCAGTTTTTAAATATTCAAAAATATGTATCTGAACCATTCCCGAGTTTTCCATCAAACACCAAATTTGTTAGGAAAATCAGTCGTACAACATATCAAAATGTTTTTTTCCTCTGACGCCTGGCTTTAAGCGTACTTGTGTAAATTTATAGTCCAAGTATCGAAATGCACGCCATCGTGTCAGGATTCAATATTTTGACATTAATTATGTCATCAACAGGAGTCATTCATGATGATGACATGTCAAAATATTGAATCTTCACACGATGGCGTGTATTTCAATACCTGGAATATGTATTACTGTCTTATCTGAGATTAATCAGTAGACCTTTCAGTTTTTGTGTTAATTCTTTAAATTAAAAAAAAATTATGAACCAAATTTCATTACAAAAATGTAGGAACCAGCTGATCAGTGATGGAAATTATTTAAAGGCCATATTTCATATGTACAAAGTACAATCAGCAAATTGAGTGGGAGTTATCAATGAAGTGATTCAATATTTGAGCTGCAAAACTGGTATTAAGGTCAAGAGTTAAGTTCAATGCTTCCACAAGTCAAGAATATGCAGTAATGTACACTCTTTTTTTTTTTTTTTTATAAGAACAAGTATTAAACATTTTGCCCAGGCTCATGCTTATTTTTTTGCCAATTTTAGGCCTAAAATGTTGTTAGTTTGTTCATACACACTTTTCAAAGATAGAAAATTATTCCTCCAGTTTAGTATTGTGTCGTACCATTCTGATGGAACTTCAGATTATCACATCTGATGACTTAATGGAGTAGATATAATGTTTAAATTAAAACCAAAGGTACTATAAACACAAGAGAAAGAGCATTCGCATAGCAAAAATGAGGCGGAAATTGGTCCAGAAGTATGCAGCACCCTTCTCTTAATGAAAGTTTATCTATACTTGGTCCAGATATACATGGCACCCTTCTGTTGCTAAGTAAATCCAGATGTATGTGGCGTCCTTCTCTTTCCGCTAATGATGGAAACTTTATAAACTAATCAGAGTCCACTCATACTATTCTCAGGATTCAAGATTCAAAATAATTTTATTGTCTGAAAATCTCAGAAATTAAATTCCACTGGCAGTGTTACAAGTGTAACATGTGTCTGTCATTTTATTCTTTTGGTTTATTTATGCCTACTTGTTTGTAGCTTATGGATAATGACAACGATTTCTACCTCGGTACAAAAGAGTTTATGTATTTACCGGTACAGTTTATGTAAGTTTGGCAGAAGTTTTTGACATCTACATAGCCAAATGGTATTCCTATCATGCATTTCAGTGAACAGTATTTTTCTGTGAAGAACTCTACCTTGTGTTTCTAGTATCTTAAACCCTTTCAAACATTAATACAGGTATGTGACTAGCTTGATTCATTGGTTTTTCTAGTTTTTTTTTTAAATTAAAACCTCATTTGATATTTTACTTTAGCCTCAATTTTTTTTCTTATTTTTTAAGGAATTTTAGGATCGGTAATCTTAAAAAATGTGTTTCTTATAGAAAAGAGTAGACTATTCCTATGATATCTTGATGGCCCAATCAATAAATACTTTAATTATTTACAGTACCTTCATACAGTGGTGGGGAGGGGGGGGGGGGGGGGGGGGAGGGGAAAGGAATTATGGGGAAATGATGGGGGAACAAAGGTAGAGTGGGGGTTCTTGATGAAGAGAGCAGGGGGTACTAGGTTGCAAAATAAGGCAATATAATGTGATTTTTAACCACTTGAGTGCGATTTTTTTGCTAATTGTGTAGGGGTTAAAAATTAAATTTAAATTTAAAAAAAATTAAAAAATTAAAATTAAAATTAAAAATTAAAATTAAAATTAAAATTAAATTAAAATTCAATTGGGAGGGGGTTAGACGGCCTATTAATTCTTTTTTTGTAAAACTACTATAAACAATGTGCCATTGTAGTATGACCCTGAAGAAAAATCCTCTATGGCCATAGGCTCCATGTTACAGCAGAGTAGGTCTATGTTATGCTTTTAACAGGCACTTCAACAATTTTATTATTTCCTTTTAAGACAAATTTTATTTGCGGTTGCAAAATCAACTACACATCTACCTTTTTATAACATATAATTCTTTCTTAGACCATTGTTTTAAATTGCAATTCTTTCCTGTCGTAGATTCAAATATTTATTTAAATATCTCAGATCTCATTGCTTATTCTTCTTTTTAATGGTTATCAATGGTCATTTTGCAATGGATCTAAAAAGTGGTTGGTACTGTGAAATGACCTTAGAAAACATAAGCCTTTGTTTTGGTGACACAAAAATCACCATGAAGGTACAGTATTATACTGTGTCCTCTTTCGGTTTTTTCATTCACTAGGTGTTTCCCAGCCGCTTGGAGGTATAACGATTCTCACCTCCAGAGGACTAGTATAATCAAGATTATACTGCAGGTAAGTAACCCTTGCATAATCTTAAATTATACATTTATGGAATAATGATCGATATAGGTAATCTGACAATTTTTCTTAGACAATATTAATGAATTATATAATTATTTTATTTAAAATTTCTAAGGAACAGTCATTAATTATTTTATTATTATACTTGGATCTTGATCTAATTACTCTCCTTCAACCAGTTCACACGCCCATCTGCAGAAACTACTTTTTTGGAGAACACGACACGTACACAACGGATTGTATTTAACGAGGACCTATTTGGACAATCAGCAGACAGCGTTGCATCGCCTAACGCTTCCATGGACATCATACGAAGCAGACTGAGTGCTGGCTTTACTCCAACCAAAAAGACCTACACAAAATCATGGCCACATACACTAAATTTGTGTACTTGTTGTAGACATACAGTAGTGTTATCAAAAACAAATTTGACATATTCAAATCGTAAGGATTTTGGACTCGGCAGATGAAGAAAAGCTTATCGAGATGGCCATGAAATTCTGCAGTGCTACATGATCTTATTGATATAGCAATTTCACATGAAAAATAGATGGATTTAAACCAATCAATAACAACATTGAATAATTTGAAAAGTAATCAATAGTATAGTTATCCAGGAATTTGAAATAGAAGGGGCCAAGAGAGGGATTTTTCACAGGGACTAGAAAACATCAGCCCCATCATGGCTATGGCATATCTAGATGACCATAAACAGTATTCTCAAACTTTTCTATTTCTTTTCAAAACATGTATGTGATGGGGAGATATGGGGGCACTTGATTCTGTTCCGGATAATTCACCATCTCACTTTTTAAAAGGTTTCTGGTTGAGTGTGAACACTGGCTGTGATTGGGCCAAAAAGTGAAATATCTAGGATCAGCTTGATTTTACATTATTTTATTTATTTATTATTTTATAAAGCCCAATTTGTTATTTTCTCCCAGATAAAGAGATGGTTGCTACCATAAATTATTTAGGGCCTACGGTACTAGCTATGTAGAATAACACAAAAGACAATGTACAAAATAGTTTGCTTTTAAAATATATTCAACAATTTACACTTATTACTGTAGCCTATAGGCAATGCATTCAAACACAAGCAATTGCAGTGATTTTAGTTTGAATGAAATGTGTTCAATCCACCTACATGAATGAGGTCAAAGTTTGTGGTACAGTTAACTGGACTGCACTTTGGATTTGATCTAACTCAGTAGGGAAGAGAATCAACTTGTCAGTTTGAATTCTTATGAAAACCTGTAGAATCTATTAGCGGACCCAGTTGTTCACTTATGATGACATTCAAAAGACCGTAACAAAATCTATACTTTTTCTTTGTTTTTGCTGTGGCTAATATGTTCTTATTTTCATTCTTCTTATCAGTGGTGGTGTCAACAGAGACAGAGAGAGATTACCCCCAGCAGGACAGGTTTGGACCCTGCATCGTCTGATGCAGCAACGAGCTCGTCAGACCAAAAATAATAATTTGCCTATCCCTGAATAACGTTATTTTGATTGTCGATCCCTAATATTGTGGAGTAAAAGCACAATTTAAGGCTTTCCCTAAAAACTCTTTCTGTAAACCCTGGGATATGGATTCCAGGCCCTAACCAAGGCTCTAGTCGGCCCCTTGGTTCAGACCTCCTATTGGACCCCATGTAAGCAAATTTCTGGAACCACCACTTCTTCAATATTCGTTGGTCTATTTGTTAGCAGTGCACAGTTTATAGGTACATAATTCACCTTTGATGATTTACTGTAGGTCAGAAATTCAAAAGAGAATACAGTACTTTAATCAGGATAATTTACCATCCCAGATACAAATTTTACATTAACGTTGCAGTCTGGTATTTGATTCAAGACGTTTCTCTGTAAGAACCATTATGTAGCTGATTAAATAAATTTGCAAATGATTCTGTAATTTCTTGCCATTTTCAGTGATCGAGATTCACCTAATTTGCTTTCTTTTAAAAAAATCTAGAAACTTTAATTACAGGAATTTTAACACCTTTGATAGAATACTTCAATTTCTTTTTTTTATTCATACAGTATGTACTGTAGATATGTCCTTTGCGAACATTTTAAAGAAAAAATTATGTTGATAAAACCCTCCGTTAAGGATTTATGATTTTTTGAGTAACATGACCTCCGAAAATATGGCCGAAACGCTAAGTTATTTCTGTTGGTTACGCTTCGCTGCTCAGCATTGTTTGTCATCGATGCGTGAAAAAGAGATCCTAGTTAAAACATGGTTTAGAATATGTGTATGCCAACATGATGAAGACAACACATCGTTATACCTATAATATAAAAACTCACAATTGAAAAATGTGAGGTTTGGTTTTATGGAGTTGTCCACCTAGGCCTACACAGTATTTTAAGATCTGTATCCAGAGATTGATTGTATCTGTACAAATGTTTACATTATTGTGAAGATCAAAGGGGGTCAAATAACTGTACATGTACAAACATAGAAATAGGCCAATTAGGTCCTAAACAGGTTTTGGGGCCACACAAACTTGGCCACCGACTGATCTACTAAAATTAATAAAACAACTTCCTTTTAAATCTTACCGACTGTTTTTATCAAATCAAAATCCTTCAGGGAAAACACTCGATCATCTAACATTCCGGGAGGTGGTGGTTCTTTTATTCTTGCTTTTGACGAAGGGTTCTTTTTACTACTTTTTCCTTTAGCAATTTTTGAAGAGGCCATTTCGTTTTCTTATCTCCAACCTCCAAAGAATAATAGCTGAAGACACAACTTGGCTGATGTGACTTTATCCACGCTATTTGGTAACAATTGAAAGAATGCTTAAGTGTGTTACTACATGCTTACACCATGATTAAGTCCAACAATTGACAGACAAACACATATAATCCTCAATAAGAGCTTTTACCAACACAAAAGGTAGCATGTTTCAATACAAAATCGATTTGTGATTACCCGCTCAAGTTGTAAACAGTGCAGCGTCGACGATTATGCAGCCGACAGAGTCGATTGGAGTGCAGTAAGTCCAGCAGTCGAACGGGGTCGCTCATTCCGCGAGGCTAAAAAAAATCAACAGTTGTTATGATCTGCTATCAGTACCATTTTCACTAGGCCTAGATAACAAATCAATATGCAACATGTTTGTAAACTATTATGGCAATACAGTAATGCTCAGTTTGTATAAGTACTGAATTACTCCAAGGAAACTAAGAAAGTAAGCACTCACTGTTCTGTTGTGCTTCCTGTGTTGCATAGGAGTCAACTCAACCTAACTGTAACTTTACTGCATTCCAAAAATATAACTTGCATTGCTCCCCCTACAGAAATCACCGAACTTTCATTTTTCCTGAGAAAAAACAATGTTTCGCAGGACCGATATATTTTAATATCTTATTGTTTGTTATCTTATTGCTGTTTTTTTTTATTATATAATTAATTGTTTTAATATTTAATACTAGGCCTCAATATATTATTTTAAATATTGATCCTACTCATACATTGGAGTGATGATGATTAATATTTTATTTTATTACATTATGATGTATTTTACTATTATATCACTGTTTTTATTCACCGCCAACGTCACCATCATCGTCACTATCTCAGCATCGTCACCATCACTATAATCATCATGTCATCAGGATCATCATCATCATCAGCAGCAGCAGCAGCATTATCATCATCACGTGCCTGCCATCACGATAATCACCATCACGACCCTCATTACGATCACCATCATCCCATCAACATCACGCCCATAATGGCATCATCACTATCACAATTTGAGTGAAAATTCTTTTTTACATGAAGAAAGGCAGAAATTTATATTCAATTTTATGTCCGAGAGTGCCCGGCATTTCCGTTCATCTAGAGGTCATAATCGTAAATTTTCTTACCGTAAACAGCCCCAACCATCACCATGGTGGAGCATTATTCTTTTGCGACTCTTTTGTAGTATACAGCTGTATATCTTTTAATAAGGCAAAAAAAAAATAAATAAATAGATAAATTAAATTGTATCTTGTAAATTATGTTGGCCACGTTTTGAGAAAATCCAAACAAAAAATGGGTAGGTCGGTAGTAAAACTTTTTTTCGAAGTTTCATGGAAAACTGTCCCTCCATACCGATGTCCCCTGAACGGGTAAAGGACAGGATTGTTTATAACAGTTCTATGTCGTAAAAGAACGTCACGCACATGTTGCGTTTCTGAAGTTGATCTGTAACCATTTCAAAATTAAAAGTATTAAGTACTGTGATGTGAATAGATTCAGGAATGCAATTAACTTTTTCTACCATGAGGGCGGGCTACAAATTCCTTTGATTCACATGCAGCTATTTCTAGCATTTCAAGGCATTATAAAGACATCATTCGTAGCCATATCGTGGGAAATAGTTTGTTCATATAATGACCATATAATAAAGTGTATTTAATATAAATGTTTCCTATGCAAGTTATTTTTCGTTAGTTATTAATATTATATCCTTTAACTGCATTATTATTATTGTTATTATTATTATTATTATTATTATCGAACAACTAAAGCATTGGTCAACTACTATATATGACATATATATAATATTCATATAATGACCATATAATAAAGTGTATTGAATATAAATGTTGCCTATGCAAGTTATTTTTCGTTAGTTATTAATATTATATCCTTACTGCATTATTATTATTGTTATTATTATTATATTATTATTATTATTATTATTATTATTATTATTATTATTATTATTATTATTATCGAACAACTAAAGCATTGGTCAACTACCGTACTATATGACAAAACGAAACAGAAAGAAAACCTGCAATTGCGATCGATTCAATTACTGCAAACTTCATTTGATCATCCTTAGAGTTCACATTTCCTTGTATTGATACTGCATAGATTTAATTCAAAACAAAAATCTTTTAGATTCACAATTTACCTTTTAGTTACAAATGAATAAGCCATAAGAAATGCAATTGGAGATCAAAATACAACTCAAAAAACAAAGTGAAACCCAAACTTTACCTAAATGAGACGGTACGGTTGTAAAATGTTTATCTCAGTTTTAATTTTTCCAGGTCAATAGATCAATAACACAAATGTGATCAATAAACGATAATATGTTTTATACCTAAAATGATCAAAGAATTTCATCTGGTCTTGATGTAATATATATAGACCCTATATATAGGACTATTCAGTACCCTAAAACCTCGAATTGAAGCCCTGGGCTTCTTATTTTTGCGAACTTTGGATTCGCACTCATTTTGTAAAATGTATAGGCTATCAATTCTTCGTGGACCAATTAGATAAAAATTGTGTGGGTCTGTCCCACTGTCCCATTTAGCTGACTACGGCATTGAACATACTCTCTTAATGTAAAAGAGTGAATTTTTACTCGAAAAGAGTGCCTACAGTCCCACTCCAATTTCACTCTTTTTTGAGTGAACATTCACTCTTAAATGAGTAAATATTATTCTTAAAATAGCGAAAAAATACTAAAATTCACTCTGAATAGAGTGACATCTCACTCTTTCTATCATTTCACTCCATAAGGAGTGGTCCAGTAGGCACTCTTTCACTCTTTGCATTAAGAGAGTAGGAGTAACGAAACATTAAACAAATAATAAACATGCTAAAGGCCTGTTTATACTTCAACGATAACGATAAAAAAAGCTAAAAAGCAATTGTTTACATAGGAAATAAAAGAAACAGGCCTAGAGAAGTTTTTACACTAGAACGATTCGATTTATCAGTATACGATAACAACATATGTTGACAAATCAAATCAAATAACGTCATAATCATGGAAAAACATTAAAATCGTAGGCCTAGTAGCAGTGGCGGCTCTATGATATTGGGGGGGGGGCTAAGTTGTCCGACAGGGGGACTTGAGCTCGTAGGCTCGAGCTCGGAGAAGGGGTTCAGAGGGGGTTCCCCCTCCCAAATGAGATTTTTTAAAAGAATATCAACCTACTGAGATGGCCGAAAACGGCACTCTCAGACTGTGACATTTCATCGTTTTTCCAGGATTATGACATCATCTGATTTGATTTGTTAAAAAAATTTTGTTATCATATAGGCCTACACGATAAATCGTTATCAAATCGTCCTAGTGTAAAAATTTCTCTTTATTTATTTTGTTTCGAACAATCGCTTTTTAGCTTATTGTATCGCTATCGTTGAAGTATAAACAGGCCTTGGTAAACAAAATTATCAACAAACAGATGCCCACACAGTATATATTTAATTTATGAATGTTCTCAGTGAACCAAATTTGTTTAATGTTCTCTTTCGTATTTTATTTTTAGTGTATTTTTAGTGTTTTTAGCTGAACGCGCAACAAAATTGTTTTTTAACAGATGAAGTTTTGGTTGAGTTCATTATTACTAAGGGAAGGATATATTTAGAAAAATGTATATTCAAATGCTGAAAATGCCATAAAATAGGTATTGCACATATGTTACCTTGAATCAATTTTATTTATAAGCAAATATTAAATACCAGTGTTTAAGTATAAATTAAGGTCCTTGTTTATATCTTGTTCTAATCTAATGTAACGATTATCAGACAGTACCATTTTTGTTGGAATTTCCAATGGTAGATATTGGGAAAACCCCGTATAGCTTGAGTTTTGCGACGATGACATCTAAAAAAGTGGTCGTTTAAAGGACCTAGATCTGGATAATTAATCGGTAAAAGGTAAAACTCCTTTTGGAGCATCATGCCGATGGTTTTGTGTCGTTCTTAGATCACACCAATTTACTACTACATCAAAGCAAGGCTTAAATGATAACTTGGATTACACCCTGAAGACAAAAACCTTACAACCTTAACCGTGTGTTGACGGAGAGGTGATGTGACTGAGACGGTGGTTTCGGCTTCCATACCCAGCACTGCCCAGCACTCAGGTAGTTATGACCCCAGATTTAAGTTAGGCCTAATACTGCTTCTGGTCGTATCACCCCTGTTTGAGTTGTTCAATTACTATATCAGGGTAGTTTCGCCCCGAAAACCACTCAAAAGAGGTGAAACGACCATGTTTTTGGCTAGGCGTTTCCCGAGCATCAGTGATAAACTGATATAAACAATATTAAAATTTTGTTAACTAACTAGGCCTATGCCTATTCAATTAATTAAAAAGAATTAATGAACTATACAGTAGTAATACCTACGTAGTATACAGTAGGCCTACTAGCCCTAGTGCTGCAATTGGTACTATTACGTTACTAGGCCCAGGTATAAAAACGGGCTATGTAAAGTGACGTTATCAGTGTATAGAGTACCACAGTTGGGTCGTCACGATGCCAGTTGGCGCTCTCTGTTATCAACAGACGTTGGTTACATTCATTACGCCTGAATGACTTCATAGGCTTTCTGGAATAAATGTACTAAAAACACAAAAGCTCGCATTATATTAGTAAAAACGGGCTATGTAAAGTGACGTTATCTATCTATAGAGTACCACAGTCGTGTCGTCACGATGCCAGGTGGCGCTCTCTGTTGTAAACAGACGTTGGTTACTGTTCATTGGGACACCTGAATGACTTTGTAGGCTTTCTGGAATAAATGTACTAAAAACACAAAAGCTCGCATTATATTAGTTATCGAACACACATTTAATCATCAATTAAAATTTACAAAGAAAATGTAAGATACAACATCTTAATAATTACCTTAGAAATTTATGATCAATGGTTTTTCTATGAAGAAAACGGCGTCCGGTTTAACACTTTTTGCAACGATAGCAACGGAGTAGTATCATGTGGTATCGTGACGTAACACTATAGTACTCTATGTGTAATTATTGCAGTTTGTCGAAAGGAAATATGAATTATTATTATATAGGCCTACTTAAATTAGAATTAGCTTAATCACAACAAACATTTGCTTTTTTACTAACAAAATTAGAAAAAAGGAAGAGGCAATTAATTCTTTTATTGTCCAAAATTACGAAACATAAGCTGGAAATTTGATATCAGATGCAGAAATCCTATACGAAAACATGTTTCTCATTCAATCATTTCATAAATAGTACACAATCTAGATATTAGTATACATCTAGACGAATAAAAAATTACATAAATATTTAAAACAATATAAAACAATGTACTGTACATAAAGTATAAGTATTATTTTATATTGTAACAAGAAAAATAATTACATTAAAAAAAGGAAGAAAGGTAGTATAATAGCATTAATATTTGGTGCTATAAAAATAATAATAACGATGATGCCATTGAAAAAAATATATAAAGTGGAATCCTACGAAAGATGAGGTAAAGGAATTGAAAATGTATTTTTATGTTTACGCAATTAAATAAAAATGATTATAAGATATTCATAAAAAAATTAATGATAAATTATGGGAATGTGTATGCCCATGACTATTGTAATATATATAAATATGCTGTTGTTATAAAAGTAAAAAACTGAAAAAAAAAAACAATAAAACATATTGTATATTCAAGGACTGTTTAATACTGTTAACATTTATGAGTCCTTGATAATTTCAATGTCTATAATAACTATTATAATTGTCAATGAAAATCTTACTCCACCATCAAAATATAATTTGTACAGGTATGAATAATAATTTAGCTAAAGAAGATCATTGTGTGGTCAAAAGCATGTGCGTCAAAAAAAAAAATGTGTTAGTCTCAGCTTCTGTAAGTGGTATATGTCTTCAATAATCCAACTACAGCATGTTATTGCAGTGTATTGTTTATGTAGTGATTAAAAATCAATTCAACAGAAACCATGGAGAGCAGCCATAGCAATGTTTAATTTAATTTTATTTAGTACTGTAGCAGGGCTGGAAAAAGTTTGTGACTGTGTGCCGGCAATCGGAGGCACTGACCTTTAACCCAGAGACATTCTAGAGAAAAACATTTTTTTTTCAACACATCACAATTTAAAATGCAAAATAAGATTTAATATTTTTGCTTGCTCCAAAGCACTAAATGTACTACTGTTTAACATTTGGTGCTGGAGGCTCATCAAGATAAGTTTCATGGTCGGAGGCACAAAAATATCTTCTCCAGGCTTGTTTTAGTAGGATTAAATGTTCCTTGCATACAACCATGTTCCACAACCAATGCCATAGGCAGGATTTTCAAATAGTGCGGGACAATATCAGTGTGGACCCACTTTACGTATCAATTCAAACAATGTGAACCCATTTTATGCAAAAATATGAAAAATCTGGACCCATTTAAAAAATTTTGCCCATTTTAGGCTAAATATGAGAAATCTGACCAAGTTTTCAAAAAGTGGACCCATTTTATGCATAAAATTGCATAATTTGGACCCATTTTTAAAAATGTGGACCCATTAGAAAAATTGGGTGGGACTGTCCCAACTGTCCCAATAGCTGCAGTAGCTATGGCATTGTCCACAACTTTTCTCTGTGTATGTCATAGTTGCACTCATGAGTCATGGTGTAGAGGAAGTGAAGTCATTTTGGGAATCCCACAATTGTTTTTGTCCAGTAATGAGCAAGAAGAAAGCATAAGCCTAAACACAAAAATCTTACTCCATCATCAAAATATAATTTGTACGGGTATGAATAATAAATTACCTGAAGAAGATCACTGTGTGGTCAAAAGCATGTGCGTCAAAAAAAAAATGTGTTAGTCTCAGCTTCTGTAAGTGGTATTTGTCTTCAATAATCTAGGTATGAAATAATTGAATTAACAAAAGATTGATAACAAAAATGCAAAAAAAAAAAAAATTAATTTATTTAAAGTGAACATTATAATCAGTGTTTTGAGATTTTTGGTGAGTTTAGCTTTTATATATGAAAAGCGGAATGCTTCAAATTTGTGTAGAGCCCTGAGGCCATGTTGGCACCAGGATTCGACAATGGCCGGGGTGGGTGACGTCCCCGACAGGAAGGCTGATTTCCCAACGAAAGCATAAGTTTGGATCGCCAAAACCTTACTTACAGAAGGTGGCGAGACTGTTCCTGTGACTTTAATATCCTCCCACAAAATAATTACAAAACGAGTAATTTCGTTTGGGTAACACATATTTCATAATTTGTTTTCATTTAGTGAACAATGGGCAATAAAGATAAATGCAAGACCAAAGGATGTGGAAATAAATGTGAAAAGAGGAAGAAGTTCTGCGTTAAATGCCATGCAGCCAATCAAACAACTACAACCACAGTTAAGTGTTGGAATTGTGACAATGATCATCCAGGAGTGGGCCTGTTTTGTCCGTACTGTGGAGAACCAAATAGTGGTCAAGTAAAAGAAGAAGCAACCCCTTCAACAGGTACAGTATTGTGTTTGATCATTTATTTATGACCAGAGGTAGCATCTTACTTGGATTTTCCAGTTGTAAGTAAAAAGAGCTCTTTACTGTAGCAGGATTTGTATCCAGGACTCTGAAATTGAAAGACAATTAGGATCAAACCACCAAGGTATATTACCACTACCATATATTTCCAACATAAGAGATAGGAGTTTGCTTACTGGAGGGGATTTTAAACTAATATTTGTTTTGAGGGATGTGAATGTGATAATTCACAGCATGATTTATATCTGTATGTTTGTTGAACACACTGATGATTTCATAGAAACAAAAGTATCATGAGTACATGTCTTTTTATAGAGTCTCTTGTTACGTCAAAATTAAAAAGACGACATAAAGAAGATGTTGACACTCTTACACAGCTGCTACCAAAGAGAAAACTTGAATGCAGTGCTTCAGGGGATACCAGTTTATCTCAAGATAGCAACAGACCAGTCCAGGGTCAGCCTGTAACAATCTCAGATACTTCTACAAATGAAAGACATAAAATCAAACCATCTGAAGGAGATCACAACAAAGTTGATGCATCCACTAATTCAGTGAAAGCAACCACTAGTACAGTAATGCCAAACAGTTTATCTCAAGATAGCAAAAGACCGACCCAGGGTCAGCCTGGAACTGTTGCAGAGACTTCTACAAATGAAAGACAAAAAAATGAACCATCTGAGGAAGATCACAACAAACTTGATGCATCCAGCGATTCAGTGGAAGCAACCGCTAATACAATGGTGACAAACAGTTTATCTCAAGATAGCAGCAGACATACAAATGACAGACATAAAAACAAACCATCAGATGAAGATCACAACAACACTGATGCATCCAGCAACCTAATAGAAGGAAATAGTACCATGTTGCCAAACGAAAGCCACAAACCATCTATGGATAGTTCCGGAAAACATTCAAGTAGTGTGTCAACAGATGGCCAACTTACAACAGACAGAAAAGATGAGATGCACTCAACACCTGTAGTTGTGCGCAATACCACAGTAGTAATTCAAGCAGAAGAATTGGTCCCTTCTGGACCACTGGATGGCAATACTATCAACACCAACAAGTCTGCTTTAGACTGCACCTCAAAAGATGAAGTTATTAGATATAAGGATGTAAAATTTGAAGAAAATTATGCTACCAAGTTCTCAAAAGTAAGTCAAGTATTTGGTGATACAGGACGTAAGTCTGAATCAGTTGGGTATACCCTCGGTGTAAATCAGAGCAGCACCCCTGAAAGGAAATCATGTGTTCATGACCCTGAAAGTAAACAAGCTGCAAGAGATACCAGTTTATCCAGTGATAGCAAGAGCACAACAGAAGAACATACTGGAACAACATCAGAAAATTCTACAAAAGCAGACCATGACACCCTAAAGCAGCAAGTGACAAAAGACAACTTACAGTCTAAACAATGCAGTTCGGGAGGTAAAGCAACACATGTTGCCACTTCAGAAGTGAGCAAACCCAATCAGAATACAAGAGTAAGTCAGAATGGTAATAACCATCATCAGAATCCAGATCAGTTGATGGACACAAGAGAAGATGATCCATCAGTTAAATGTGTAAGTATTTTTTACAGATTTAATTCACCAGAGTTTTTAAAACACATTTTAATGTAAATATTAGCAGCAAATTTCAAATTGCTCAGGATTTTTCCTCTTAAATATTAAAGCCAGGCCCTGGAGGAAAATTATAGGCCCTATATGTTTATATATATATATGTACAGGTATGTAT